ACAATCTCAATTAAAAAACAGAGGTAAAACTGGCATTTGTGATTCTTTGTTCTAATGGGAACTCTGCATTCTAAATGCAGAGGAATTCTCCTATTGTTCAGAAAGCACCCCCTTTTCATTAGCAAATCTGGCTGTAGGTGGGTTTTTGTAATTTAGCTGAGCAGAGTAGAGAGCACAGTTTCTCCAGGAGGAAAGCAGAAGTTAGCAATTTAAGATTTTCTGTATACTGGCCATTAGTTCCGAGAAAAGGATTTAAGATGATGAAAGTTAGTAGCCTTGTGAATTACTGAGAGAACTTTAAATACTAAGCAGAGTGGCAGGTATGTATTTCTGTGAACTCAGCTGATAGCACTGGCAGAGATTTGTTTTTTTTCTTGATGTCTTAAGGCTATGCAGATACGTGTTTAATATATATGCATTTTTTGGTTTTCAATTTTTGCATACAGGAAGGAAGTATACTGTATGGTTTGCATTGTGATGGCTTTTGTAAAGAGAATTGAAATTTGTTGTAGAGACTTTGTGGAATAATGTTGGTTCTGAGGTAGTTCTTATGGTTTTGTTTAGCTGTGACTTTGTGAAACTTCATTATAACTCTTATAGAAGGTCCCGGGGGGGAGATATTTTTTTTATTTTACAGTATTGAAGATGCTGTAACCTCTAATGGATTCATGTTCCATCATAGGTTACATACAATCAGTAAGTCATCCCAGTAATCTTTAATTCCTCATCAAGGTATAATGATTTCATCTGCCTAACCTGATAGCAAACATGGCCACGAAGACTGTAAACAGCTCAAGTATGCGAATATATGTTATGGTTTCACTCTGTGTTGCTCCACAGTTCAAAGATTTAGTATTTGTTTTAATTGGAATGAAATATACTCTTGTTTATACAAATGTGATCAGAGGGGCTGATGTCATTGTTTAGTACTGATTAATACTGAAGTTAGGTAAGGAGACTAATAACTATAAATGTGCAGTTTATATTAAAATGTTGATTAAGTAACAGAAAAGATGTTATGACACTTGTTACTGTGCTGGTTTTGGGTTTTTACTTTGGTTATGTGATGGAAGGTTTAAAAATCTAGCTTAGTTCTGCTAAATCTTTTAAGCTTGGAAATTGCAACTGTTCAGTGCAGGGTTGTGGGAAGAAGGGGAAGGGTGAGATGCTACGCTGCAGAACCCATTTTGTATCTGCCTAAAATTATTTAATGCTCATAAATGCCAGCCTGGTCACAGTATAGCGTGCATGCCCATGACTATTCTGGCTACTGTTTTTGTGTGCGCGCTGGACACTACAGTGCTGTGCCGTGATAGAGTGCAGTATGGGTAGAGCTTGCTTCAAGCAGCAAAGGTTAAATGAAAAGCAATGGATAGGGCTAGAATAGTTTTAGGCAGTTACATCTGGCTCCATTTGCTGTTTTAACTCCTTCTTTATCAGTAGTTTTACCCACTAAAGAGGTTTCACCTGACTGATCCATTCATGGTTCTGGATAGGGCAGAGTTACTTCACATGTGTCCCTGTAGCATTGCTGAGAAACAAAACAGAACTACTACTGCCTCTGCAATGGTCCAAAAAACTTCATGTGTGTGTATGTTGGTGCCAGCTGGGTGTGTGTCTTCACACTTGCATGTGTGTTTATGTGTGGCTGAAATAGTCTCATGAGTGCAGTTGCTGAGTGGATACATGTAAAAATGCTTTATACCAGCACTGTTTATCCTTTTGTGTCAGAGTTGAGAGACACCAGTATGAAGACATTTATACCAGTCCTGTACAGATGGAAGGGGCTGGGATTTGCTTTCTGATCTAAGTATCCTTGTGCAACTTTTTATCTGTAGATAAGGCCTTAGGAGGAGAATGTGTTAGACATACAGGCTTTCTTTAGGACGCATATACTGTTTGTGCAGATTTGCCAAATGGGAAGGTAAACATGCTCGTCTCTGGACTAATTAGAGAATTATTAGGTTTTCATGCTCTTTGTGATCAGATTATTTCAAAAGGTTTTTAAATTGCATGTGTGCCATGAGCATAATTAACCTGGATCTCATCAATGATTAAAATTACACACCAAGCTTTGTGACGTTTGATTCAGCAGCAATTAGGCTGTCATTTTAGCCATCACAGATACCAAAACTAATTTTGATTCATTTTCATTCTATGCAAATCTTCTGATGTATCTTAAACTGATCACTTCCTCTCTCTGATTTAGCTGACAAGATTAAATTTGATTACACTTAAAAAAAATTAAGCAGCTATCCTTCATACTTAATATATCAGTGACCTTCACTGAAGGATTTCCTAGGCAAGGATTTTTTATTTTTTTTTTTAATCCCCAAATCACATTGAGCGATTTTATGCAGGGATATAGCACCTGGCTATTATGTGTATAAATATATATTGTCTAGCAATGCAAAAATTTTAAATTAGATTTACATTTCTTGTAAACGAGAAGATGGAGAAAACATTAGTGCTTCAGATAACTAAAACAATAGTTTCCAGG